TGATAGAGCTATCCAGTATAAATAAAGTTAGTTTAGTTTAGGTTTCCCCCTGTAGTAACACTGGATCAATAAGAGATGATCCTTACTAGACCTCTAGGAAGAACAATTTAGAACTGATAGAGCTATCCAGTAGAAATAAAGTTAGTTTAGTTTAGGTTTCCTCCTGTTGTAACACTGTCCAGATCAATAAGAGATAATCCTTTTTTGACCTCTATAGGTAGAACAGTTTAGAACTGATAGAGCTATCCAGGGGAAATAAAGTTAGTTTAGTTTAAGTTTTCTCATGTAGTAACACTGGATCAATAAGAGATGACTCTTACTGGACCTTTAGCAAGAACAATTTAGAACTGATAGAGCTATCGATTAAAAATAAAGTTAGTTTAGTTTATGTTTAGTTTAATTCATCGTAAACGTCTCAACGAAGTAACACACTAACTGACGGACTGACTTATTGCTTTCAAGGTAACAGTAAGATACATTGATTTTGGCAATACAGAAAATATTAAGAAAGAAACTTTGGTTGAACTGCCACCATCTTTGGCAGACACTCGACCATTTGCACATCTCTACCACCTCGCCGGCTGTGAAGTTGCTAATGATCCTGGTGCAAACGAGATGACTTATGGATTGGTAGGGTGTTAATTCATTCATTTATTTACATATTGTTGGGGGCGGGAGTCAATAAGCGGTTGAGAAACACAAAATAGTAGTTAAATATTGTCTCGGTTTAAATACAATTATTATCGATGCTGTAAAATTGGCGCCATATTTATAAAGCAATATAAGCAAAACTTACTGAACTTCAGACATAATTTTCTCTTTGGCGTACCATCTAAAATCTCTTCATTTTAGCATAATTTTACAGATAAAGCACTAAACATACTTTTTAAGTTTGTTTGCCGCTTGAGAAACATATCAAAAATTTAAAAAATCGAATATAGTCATACCCAAGTGGAGAAGTATATTGGAGACCTTACGATTTAGGACGGCAACGGCTACCAATACAATAAATCATTGAAAAGAATTGAATATTAATTACAATATATGAATAATTTAGACATTGTCCTCGCTCTGTTTACAACGCCAAATCACAGATTTTCACGTCTTGATACAACGGCTGCATTTCAAGCCGCAACAAGTGCAACTTCAAACTGGGTTTAGCAGAACTTTTCGTCTTCAATTTCTATACAATGACTGTATTCAGTTCATACGATTGATAATATACGACGAATTATCTTTACTACCATTTATTTGAAGGAGTTTGTTTTGGCCGTCGTCGTCACGTTGCCGTCCTATAATCGTTAGGTCTCTATTCATTAGTTTGAGCACGTGTTACGTAACATACAAAAGATTCGCCTCTTAATGTATATACTTTTTATCTTCATTGTTACAGGGTGTTGAACAATTGAAGAACCTCGTCATTGGAAAATTGATCAACGTGAAATTTTTATCCGAAAACTCACATGGTGAGTTTTGTTAATTTTGTACGCTTAAAATCTTTACAACAATTGTGATATTGACATTTTCTGTGTTGGTGCAATGTACTCAGGTGAATATGATGCTTGTGGTGTTACTCTGAGTGTATATCCACACCGGGCAAGCTTGAAAAATATGCCTGACCACGGTGGGATTCGAACCTACGACCTTTGGAATACTAGCCCAATGCTCTACCAACTGAGCTACGCGGTCTGGTCGGTTCGAGTATGTGATATTTCGGAACAGAATCTAGTTCCTTCGATATACATTGAGTACATTGCACCAACACAGAAAATGTCATTATTACTAGATTACATTGATATCGAAGGAACTAGATTCTGTTCCGAAATATCACATACTCGAACCGACCAGACCACGTAGCTCAGTTGGTAGAGCATTGGGCTGGTATTCCAAAGTCGTAGGTTCGAATCCCACCGTGGTCAGGCATATTTTTCAAAATTGTGATATTACTTTCCTAACTGTGTTTATCCTAACCCACCCTGTCAACTTTCCCTCTGGGAAGAAACTGGGCTACCCCGAAGAGAACCCACGACTTTCGGCAGAGCGTTGACTGATTCTTTTCACATGAGTCCGTAGTCATTAAACCGTAAACCCTGCGTTGTCATCTTGTTACAAGGTTGATGACGGTAACAGACTTGCTACAAGTTGTTCCAACAAGACTAATACAGGCTGTTCGTAAAAAATTGCTACGAGCTTGTTGTCATCAACTTGTTAACAACTTGTTACGTGCAGACGATATCAGACTTGTTGGAACAACTTCTTGCGAGTCTGTTGGCCTCATCAACCTTGTTACAAGATGATAACAACTTGTTCCAGACTTGTGCAGGCTAGCTCAGCTATGCATTTTCACCGCACACGTTGGGAAAACTACTCAACAACAACATAATTGACAAAATCGTTTGCATTTTCCTCCATTTTGTTCAAAGTCACATGAAGAAACTATATGGTTTCTCATTGGCTCAGCACTAAGCTCGCAACATCCGCAGACGTTGAGATTTTTTACTCGCGAGGTGAAAAATATCAAACACGATAGATATTTTCCTCAAGGCCTCGAGAGGTCAAATCCTCACGAAAACTATCCACTCACAAGAGAAACTTGCTAAGCGAGCTGCCACGCGAGGCGGTAAGCTCAGCAAGTTTCTCTGCTTAATCTTCTAAATTCTTCATTTTCAATTTTCCAGGTGGGGTGAATGTGACAGTATCGTATCCGGGGGAGACAGGGAAAAGTATCAACGAAATGATGCTGGACGGGGGGTGCGTCCAAAAGATGAGGGTAAGTACCATATTGAACTTTTGTTTAATGTCTTTATTTCGCATAATAATCGATAACGGTTATGACATGTAAATAGTCCGGATCTATCTTGTCTTTTGTGTGCTGTACGTAAATCAAGCTTTACTGACTGTAGAGATATATCAACACTCTATTACATTACATGTGAAATAGTCTGGATCTATCTTGTCTTTTGTGTGCTGTATGCAAATCAATCTTTACTGACTGTAGAGATATATCAACACTCTATTACATTACATGTGAAATAGTCTGGATTTACCTTGTCTTTTATGTGCTGTATGTAAATCAATCTTTACTGACTGTAGAGATATATCAACACTGTATTACATTACATGTGAAATAGTCTGGATCTATCTTGTCTTTTGTGTGCTGTATGCAAATCAATCTTTACTGACTGTAGAGATATATCAACACTCTATTACATTACATGTGAAATAGTCTGGATCTATCTTGTCTTTTGCGTGCTGTATGCAAATCAATCTTTACTGACTGTAGAGATATATCAACACTCTATTACATTACATGTGAAATAGTCTGGATCTATCTTGTCTTTTGTGTGCTGTATGCAAATCAATCTTTACTGACTGTAGAGATATATCAACACTCTATTACATTACATGTGAAATAGTCTGGATCTATCTTGTCTTTTGTGTGCTGTATGCAAAGCAATCTTTACTGACTGCAGAGATATATCAACACTCCATTACGTCTGGATCTATCTTGTCTTTTGTGTGCTGTATGCAAATCAATCTTTACTGACTGCAGAGATATATCAACACTCCATTACGTCTGGATCTATCTTGTCTTTTGTGTGCTGTATGCAAATCAATCTTTACTGACTGTAGAGATATATCGACACTCTCTTTCATTACATGTGAAATAGTCTGGATCTATATCTTGTCTTTTGTGTGCTGTATGTTAATCAGCAGGGTGCGATAATTCGTGTCCGTACGTACCGGAAGTACGCCAATATTACGGTGTGGTACTTCTTTGTTTTCAGCCAAGTCCACGTAGGTACGCGGAACTCTTGCTATCTACGTACTTTTTTTTTTGTTGGTGCCAAGCCTAAGTTATTCAAAACCATAATTTTGTCGGAATATGTGGAAGTCTGACAGGACTTGGCATTAAATCTATTTTTTTTTAATGAATTTAGTAAAACATATATCAATTGTTTTCCTCTTAAGAAAATTAAAGGTATAGAAATAAATTAAATCATTCTTTGCGATTAGCCAAGCGTTTATATTATGAACAGCAATTAGAGCGTAATAAGTCAAATTGTAAAAAAACGTGGAATAACTTGAATGAAATTATCAATAAACGTAAACAAACAAGTAAACTCCCATCTACATTTATAATTAATAATGTTGATTGTTCAGATCCAATTTCAATAGCCAATAATTTTTCCAAATATTTTTCAACCTTATAGGGTCTAATCTAGCTACCTTATAGGGTCTAATCTAGCTAGTAAGATTCCTGCACAGGTTCCTGTCCCCCCAAGGGATAACGGAAATCGCAAATTCTTTTAGGAACGATGTGGCCTCTGGCTACGACAATTTACCTGTGTCTGTTATTAAAGAATCTATTGATCTAATTGCTAAGCCTCTAGCTCACATTGTTAATCTATCTATATCGTCTGGCATTTTTCCTGATTTTTTAAAAATTGCGAGAGTAATACCTGTATTTAAATCAGGCGATCGTAGACTTATGTCAGACTACAGACCAGTTTCAGTCCTTCCAATTTTCTCTAAGGTCTTTGAAAGAGTTGTTTACAATCGTTTGATAAGCTATGTGGATAGACTCAATATTCTTACTGAAAATCAATATGGATTTAGAAAGGATCATTCGACTTCTTTAGCCTTATTGGATCTATAATAACAAAATTTCTTCAGGAATTGGTATAAAGGAGTTCACAGTTGATATTTTTTTTATCTATCCAAGGCATTTGACACCATTGATCATTGTATTTTGTTTGATAAACTTCAACATTACGGAATTCGAGGTGTTCCTCTAGACTGGTTTAAAAGTTATTTTAACGAAAGGCAACAATTTGTTGTATATAATGGTATAAGTTCTCAAAAAATACCAATCAACTGTGGTGTACCGCAGGGATCAATACTTGGTCCCTTACTCTTTTTACTATATATCAATGATATTTGTAATGCTTCAGATATCCTTCACTATGTGTTATTCGCCGACGATACAAATTTATTCTACTCACATAAAAACCTGTCATTTCTAATTGATCAAGTCAGTCATGAGTTACTTAAACTATCTGATTGGTTTGCTGCTAATAGATTATCAATTAGTTTTGAAAAAACTGAGTTCATGATTTTTAGACCGAAACAAAAATCATGTAATGTTGATGTTAATATAGTCCTAAGTAGTCATCAAATTTCCTTAACTAATGAGGTTAGTTTTCTCGGAGTAATTTTGGACGAGCATCTCTCTTGGAAATCTCATATTACGCATGTAACAAAGAAAATGTCTAAGTCGATTGGCATCATTAAAAAGGCTAGTTTTTACCTCTCTAAATCAACGTTGTTAACACTATATTATTCTCTTGTTTATCCATACATGCAATATTGTATTTTAGTCTGGGGATCAACGTATCCATCAAACCTAACTACCTAAGACGTATTGTGTTATTACAGAAGCAGGTTGTTAGGATTATAAATAAGGCCGTATACGATGCTCGTACTGAGCCCATGTTTAATGATCTTGGACTTCTCCCATTTCAGAAGATATATTTATTTCACTTAGGTAAATTTATGTTTCTATTCCACAAAAGAATGCTATCGGCTAATTTTGATAATTTTTTTGTTGTGTTAATCAAGTTCATAATTATAATACACGTAATTCTAAATTGTATATTATGTCCCTTTCTGTAGAACTAATATTAAGCAATTCTCCGTTATTTATCAAGGTGTGAAGTTTTCTAATTCTATTAGTCGGAATATTTATGATGCTTCGTCTGTTTCCTGTTTTAAGAAAAAATTAAAAGTTTATCCATTGGTTTATCTTTTCGATATGTAAGCGTAAAAACCATATTAATTGTTATAAATAAATTCATACTTATATACTTCCTGATCCTGGTTTTATCGGATTATAATGAGGTGGCCCAAAACTCATAAGCCTCTTGGTTTCATCTGGGCTTCCTTGCCTTAATACTATATAACTATTTTATTTATATTTTTTGTATTTACATGCAATATGTGTGGCAAAATAAATTGACTTGACTTGGGTTGATGTGATCAAATGGGACTAAGAAAAAAGTTCGAGTCAATTGTAGTGTTTGTATTTCCAATGCACTCCTTGATCTATAACACAAGTTATACATATATACACAAGGTGAACTTTAAGTACTAGTTAAAACAGATAAAGATGGGATGGGAATGTTTTATCGTGCATATAAAACGACCCATCTTATGAGTTCATTAGCGAAGTAATTTTAAAAATAAAGATTGTCTAAGCCGAGAAAATCAAAGCTGAAGTTTATGGAAATCAGGACAAATCTTTATGCGATTTACAATTTACTGATGGTAGAAATATACCGACACTCTATTACATTACATGTGAAATAGTCTTTTGTGTGCTGTATAAATCAGTCTTTACTTATTGTAGAGATATATCGAAACTCTATTACATTACATATGAAACAGTCTGGATCTATCTTGTCTTTTGTGTGCTGTATGTTAATCAGTAAATCGTATCATTTATAATATAGTAGACAGTAGAAAGGACAGAGCTTTATGTATAATTCAGTCATCGGTAACAAGATAAAGCCGATATTTCGATCAGGAAAACGAGACTGTCTAACCAAAGGCTAAGCCCTTCCTGGGAAAGGTGCATGTATTGAGTTATTAAATGTGGCACTCCTGGCGTGGGCGCTAGCGTGGGGCACGCGCGTGGGAGTGAAAACTGAAAAATTCAAAATACATATTTCTGCTTGTCGTATTCAAACCCAATTTTCTACGTAAAAGCGCTTGAATACAAGGAATATTTTACTCGGATGGAGGTTTTTATCCAAATGAAATACAGAATGTTTGGCCAAGTTTGAGTAAATGTACGATTGTTTTGGTTTGTGTAATGTTTAGAAAAGTTTATTTTCAGGGTGAACAAGAAACAATCGACTCCAATCATGTTTCATAACTTATACTTTATTACAATTTCCCAACAGGGCTTTTCGGATTGTATTTGTAACTATATTCTATTTACAAGTACTAAAACATGAAAATAGTTTAAGATAAAAAAAAACTAGTTAGCATATTGGATTTTAAATGTTTCCTAAAAGAGGTAAAATTTGTAATATCCTTTAAATTCTCGTCCAAATTATTCCATAGTTTTACTGCCCTATATTTAAAACTTCTTTGAGCAGAACTAATTTTGAGAGATGGAATATTAAGTGTATTACGGTTACGGATCTTTTCTTGATGAACAGAAGCACTTGAATGTCATTAGATGATCTCAATATTTGAACTGATCTTCTAAATGTAACCAGTTTAGGTCTTTTAGGACGGGTGTTACACGTATTTCATGCCAATTAACATATCTCAGATAATGATTTTTTCTGTGTTGGTGCATGCATGTTATGTACTCAGGTGAATATGATGTTTGCATGTGATGTTACTCTGAGTGTATATCCACACCGGGCAAGCTTGAGCCGTGGCAAGGCATATTTTTCAAGCTTGCCCGGTGTGGATATACATGCACTCGCAGTAACATCACAAACAACATCTCAGATACATGATATAGCAACTAAATTAGGGTATTGAATACCTTGTGCTTGGAAAGGTTAGGTGGTACCAGCTAAAAGTAAATACGCAGACAGCAAGAGTTCCGCGTACCTACGTGGTACTTGGATGAAAACAAAGAAGTATTAAGTAATATTGGCGTACGTCCGGCACGTAAGCACGCGAATTATCGCGCCCTGTTTTTGTGAAATAATTATACGTATAACATTACGTGATGCACATTTGTATATATAGTCTATAACTCAGTGGTCTGAACTCAGTTCGAACAGTACAGTCGTACAAGCAATAATTGTCTGATTCAAGTATGTTGCCTGTAGTTTTTCGCACCGTAGGCTTTGCTTTGGGTTCAGTTTTGAATAAAGTACTTAACGTTGATAAGCGAAACGCGGCTGATAAGAATTGGCGAGATGCAATTGTCAAAAGTCTAAATAATAACGGGGCCAAAATCGATAGACTCTCGCAGAAAGATTTACGCGCAAGTTACCGCTTTCTTAATGAAGGTGTAGATTTATTATTAATGACTATCGCTCCAGATGAAGCAAAAGGCGAACAGACAAGTAAAGTCGAGGCAAACGGGCTACAAAATATCGAAAGTTCAACAACGACAACCGCAACATTAGCAACATCGACAATAGCAACCACAAGAAACGAAAGCAAGTCTGGAATTCTAAACGAAGTTATCGCACTCACACACGCATTTCGGGAGCTTGAAAACACATCAAATGATCGACTTGTTTTAGCAAAAGAACGCTTCACAAAAGCACTCGAATATGCTACTTTAGCGTTCTCTGACGAAGCCTTGAAATTACCCGATAGAATCATGGCGGCAAAATTACGCGTTGTGTCCAAGATTTTAGAATGTCTTCAGGACACAAAAGCAGCCGCGTCTGGTTGCATGTTGTTCTTGAAAGAGCTTAATCATCTGCCAGGCATTGGAGAAACATTTTCCACATATTTCGGATTCACATGGAAATCGATTTTCTTAAAAACTGCACAATTAGAGAACGTTAAATGGGTACTCTGTTTGAACTTTGTTGTATCAGAATTTGTTGCTACGTTTTCTGATGAGTTACCGAACGTCCAAAACTGGCCCAGAATATATCTGTCAACCGGAGGCCACACGATGCACCCACTGCTTCTTAACATTGAAGTCGTGGAGAATATTTTTCCCAATGTGGAATTTCAACTGCCAGAAAATCATGTCACTTCAGCGAAAAAAGATTTGCAGCTTTGCCGTATCAATAGCAAAGGAGAACTTGTAGCTTTATCTAAGTGTGAGGATCATCATGGATTTATTTTAAAAAGATCAGGAGAACTGAAAACGTTTTGTGACCTGACAAATCAACCCCTGAAAATAGACGCGTTGGCCGTCGATAATTATGATAACATTTATGTTCTAGCACATTTTCCTTTCCGTCCATTTCCGTTAAAAGGTGACACTACGAACGTGAAAACATATGTTCTGCTCGTTTTCGATTCAAGTGGCACTAAGAAATGCGAAAAGGTGCTAGACTTCATTCAAGACGAGTCTGATTATACAACTGTTAACTGTGTGGTGAACAAAGACGGTGATGTTCTAATCCATTTCTGCTGGAAAGATTATCTTTATGTCTGTGACAGCAATGGCAATAAAAAATCTCGCTTATCACTTGAACACCACTCTACCTCTCAGTTCGAGCGGGACAACTTAACTTCCTTTGAATGTGTTACCGACCACAATGAAATAATTATGGTTAGCAGAAAAACCTCTACTAACAACAGTGTGTTCGTTTACACGAGAGAAGGGGAGTTAAAGCGAACGATAAATCTAAAGTATTGGGTGAACGCAGTTACATATAACTATGCTACATCAAAAATAGAAATTCTGGTAATCCAGGAACCGCTTTTTGGAACAATGACATCGTACTGCATTCGCAGTTACTCAGAGACTGGTGACGTTGAATGTTTGCATTTACCAGAAACAAGATCAATATGGGATTCAACGATTGTCTCGCATCCTGCCGGTCCTGCAGCGTTTGTATATGATGTCGACGATGGGTTAGGTTTAAGAGTAATTTTTATGTAGGTATTCGGTAGTCAAGTGATATCATAACCCAGATTTACTTAGCTGGTACAAGTAAATCTGGCTGATTGAATTATATTATTTCTCTGCAGGTTATATTATATGCGCATTTCTCAGCGCAATCGTTTTGTTGGTATATATTTTAACAGAAACAGCGCAATTGGAAATGTGCATATATCGACTTTAACTAAACTTGATCGACTAAAATGGTTTAGAGCCAATTCTGTATTTGAGGCTAAGAGTTAGAACTCATTCGATGACGATCTTAGGACAATAGTAAATAGACTTCATAAATTTAAAGCAGCAATTAGAACACTGGACTTTTCTTAAATAATTAAATATATTTATACTTATTCATACTTACTTATACTGTATCTATATTATGTCGTCTGTATCCAACGACGGCAATTAAAAATGCAGTGCTCATATATACTGTTTATGGGGCTTGTTTTTCATCGACTTGTACTATATTTGCTTATACTACATTTATATAAAGGCCGATTTGGACTACATAACTTTTGCCTAAAACTATCGCATGCAACCTGCTTACAACTTGAGTTGTACTGTGTAAATCAAGCATACAACTCGCCCACATTGTTGTAAGTGAGTTGTGCGCTTGATTTACACAGTACAACTAGAGTTGTAAGCAGGTTGCATGCGACAGTTTTTGGCAAAAGTTGTGTAGTCAAAATCGGCGTTAATGAAAACACCGTAAACTCTGAATATAAGCCCCCGGAATATAAGCCCCCCGTTTATAAGCCCCCCC